CATGCTTAGGGCTAACTCTAGCCCCAAGAAGATGTCTAGCCACTCATGGTAGTGATGATCCAACCCTCAAGGGCTAACTCCATGGCTGCTCCTTGTAGATGAAGATCTCCTCCAATGGTTGCTCTAGCTTCCTCCCTTCTTCCTCTCCAAGAATAGCCTCCAAGATGATTTTCAATGTGTGACAAGAGACTCTAGACTCCTCACCAAAAAGTGTATCATATTCCTTATATAGGTAGGTCAAATACACCCTATGATGAGCTGTGGTCGTGCAAGGCATATTCTCCAATGATTGGGTGAAGGACGGAATAAATGAGCTGGACTTTAACTTTTTCTCGCTGGAGGAAGTTCGATCGATCGAACCTTAACTTGGATCGATCGAAAATGGGTTCGATCGATCGAACTGCATCTTGGATCGATCGAAGTGGTCTGACTCCTCCGGATAAGAACAAGGCTGAGATATTTCGAAGATATTTATGGGGAAAAGGACAAAAGTGGTTGGTAGGCGTACAGCTGTGGATAAGATCAATCATTTGAATAGGACAAAATAGGGTTCGATCGATCGAAGGTGATGTTGGATCGATCGAACTTGGAATTTCAGCAAAGGCCAAGGTTGGATCTATCGAGAAGTACTGTGATCGATCATAGATGTTCGATCGATCGAACTCTAAGTTGGATCGATCGAACTTTTCAGCTGCACAACTTTGATTCCTTTTTGCTCCTTGTTTTCTCCACTTTGCTCCCTCCTTTGGTTTATCTCAAGATTGCTTCAATTAAGCTCTTATTTGGCTAAGTTAGCTCAATTTTGGGATTAGTGCCTGAAAATATAAATAACACGTAACAAGTCTAAAACGGCAAAGTAAGATAGATAAAGGTACTAGAATGCTTAAGCTTAACGGGTTTAAATGCGCACTTTTCAGTGCTCATCAATGATTGTGGATGAAAATTTTCTTATTCAATTTATACTCTCAATTTTTTGTCTATTCAGTATAGGTCATTTCAAATTTACATTATTAAGACAAGTGGAAAGTGATTTAATTGACAATTATGTTAATTTAGGAGGAGACAAGACTTAGATAGCAAGGTAATCATTATGTTCATCTGATGACTTAAGAAGTTATAAATAAATTTTGGGAATAAACTTGAAAAAAGCATTAAGTGAGTAACACCTAAAATTAAAAGATTTAGGTCAATTTGCTAAAGAAAGGAATGTAATAATGAAAAAGTATCATTAATGTATTGAACACTTTTAGAAAGATTACATTGAATATAAAGAATGATTCGAAAAAGAATGGTAAGCTTTTGGCGTTTGTATATTTCGAATTACTTATTGAAATTATTTCTAATACATGATAGGTTGACTTAAGTACTAATGTTTATGTTTCTAATAGATGCAAGAATTTCTTATGGCCTAAATCACAAATTCAAATAAGAATTTCTCATTTATGATAATTGGGAAAAAGTTTTGTTGAAACTATTGTGACATTATGTTTAATGTTAAATAGTGGATTTTATTTAAATTATTTTAAACTTTTTATATTTATTCAATTTCCTATAATTTGATTTTATTTCAAAACTTTTTGTTAATGGTTTTTCATTTAAATTTGGTAATGATGTTTATTCAAGAAATTCTAATTTGTGAGTTATGGTATTATTGTTGATGATTTATATAAATTCAAACTTGATAGTTTATTTATTAAAAAACCTTTTGATCTTTCATCATAATGTTAGAATTAAGCATAGCTCAATTAATAGAAAATTTATTTTTCTTGTGGCATAAAAGACTATCTCACTATCTAGTAAAATGTTAGGAAAATTAGTAAAGAATGTGATTTTTCTGAATCTAAACTTTACTGATTTTGGTGTGTGTGTAGATTGTATTAAGGGTAAACAAACCAAACACACAAAGAAATGAGCCACAAGAAATACAGAGTTTCTTGAAATAATTCATACAGACATTTGTAGACCTTCTGATGTTCTATCTTTTGGAGGAGAAAAATATTTTATCGTATTTATAGTTGATTTTTCACATTATGGATATATCTATTTGTTAGATGAAAAATCTCAAGCAGTGGGTGTTCTTGAAGTATACATGAATGAGGTTGCAAAACAACTAGATAGAAAAGTGGAAATCATAAGGTCATATAGAGGTGGTAAATATTATGGAAAGTATGATAAAATGGGTTAATACTCTAACCGTTTGCTAAACTCCTTAAAATATATGGCATTTGTGCTCAATACACTTTGCTATACATGCTACAGCAAAAACGTGTAGCTGTAATACATAATCGTACTCTTATAGAATTGGTTAGGAGTATGTTAAGTAATTTCTCGTTACCCATAATGTTGTGGATGTTAAGTAATCTAAAGGGTACAAGTTTTACTATCCTAAACATAGTACGATAATTATTGAAACCAGTAATGTCAAATTCATTGAGAATGGTGAAGTCAGTGGGAGTAATAAAAAATAAGAATTTGATTATTCCAGAAGTTAGAGTACAAATCTCTTTACCCATAACTTCTAAGGAAGTATTTGTTCATTCAATTATTGAACCGTATAACAACGAAGAACAATTGAATGATCAACAACTCTATAATGAGATTATCACCAATGAATAGATTGTAGAAGAATCATAAGGAATAACATTAAGACGATTTCAAAGAGAAAGGAGTTCTGCTATTCTGGATGACTATGTGATATATCTGTAAGAATTTAATTTTGATATATAGTGAGATATATACGGATCCGGTTACATATTCACAAGCCATTAACAGTAATGATTTTACTAAATGGATTAGTGCCATGAATGAAGAGATTATAAAGAAACATTTTCTCCAATATCTAAGAAGGAATCTTTTAAAATATCATGGCATTAGTAACTTATTATGATTTAGAGTTACATTAAATGAATGTGAATACAACTTTCATGAATGGGAGTTTATAAGAGAAAGTCCATATGGAACAACCTGAAGGTTTCACATTAGAGGGTAAAAGATTCATGGTCTGTAAACTTAAGATGCCAATATATGGATTTAAACAAGCTTTCTAACAATGGTATATTAAGTTTAATGATACCATTATTTCTTTTGGTTTTAAGAAAAATACTGTTAATCAGTGTATATACTAGAAGGTTAGTGGGAGTAAGTTTATATTTCTGATTCTATATATTGATGATATTTTATTTGGTAGTAGTGATCTTAGTTTATTATATAAAACTAAAAGTTATCTCTAAAAACTTTGAAATGAAAGATATGAATGAGACATCCTACGTGATAGTAATATAAATATTTTATAATTGATCACGCGAATTTTTAGGATTATTTCAGAAATCATATATTGAAAGAGTTCTAGAAAGATTTGGTATGGAATATTATTCAACCAGTATTGTTTCATACATAAAAGGGGATAAATTCAGCCTAATGCAATCCCAAAGAATGAGTTAGCTAGAAGGTAAAGAAGCGAAAAATATTCCTTATGCATATATTGTGGAGTTTGATGTATATACAAGTTGGTATGTGATAAAAGATTATATGCTCACATTTATGAATATATTTTTTAATTGATTATTTGTTTCTTTTGGCTGGAAGAACAATATTATGAAAAAGTGTAAAGTAATTTTTTATTACTTTGTCTATTATGAATTTTTAATTAGTAGCATGATTTGAGGCTACAATTTATTATTGCTGAATTAATTTCAGGATTTGGAGTTATGGGTATCATTTTTCAAATTGCTGAAAATTTATGCTGCAATTATTGATCTTCTTGTATGAAAAATGATAGGTATTTTAAAGTTGAAATACTTTATCATTAAAGAAGATGTTTAGAAACAACGAATATCTATTGAATATATAAACACACAACTTATAATTGCAATCCATTAACGAATGGACTACCACCCAAAACATTTATGGAACATGTTAAAAGAATGGGTCTTGAATGTAGTCAATGATGATTATTTTTTAATTGTGGATTGCTTATCAGTGCTTATATATATTTGACATTTTGCGCTCATTAAATGTGTTTCTGATATTTCCTATTAGTTAATATACATGTACATATTACTTTAATAAGTGGTAATATGAATAGTCTTGAAAAAGACATTATTGTTAGATCATTATTGATACTTCTCATTTATAGACTATGTTGAATAGGTTACTAGTGTTGTGGTACATGGAAGGGACTGTGTCATTTAGGGACATACAACCGCCATGACTCACATTGGTATAGTTTGTTTACCATGGTATTTATGATGACCAACTTAATACTTTAATCTGATTTATGGTGCACACTAATGACTATTTTACTAAACCACTACAGAAATTATCATATGTGCCAAGTGGGAGAATATAAGATTATTTATTTAATTGTGACCCACATGATTCGGACATGTGACATATTACTTGGTGGCTAAGTAAATGGATATCAATTAAGATTATTTATTCTTGGTCAACTTATAATTACCTTTTTGGTAATTACTTATTGGAGAAGTGTTTTCCTTTCTTATTTCTTACTTTGATGGAAAGTAGAATTATATTACTAAAAGGAGAACTAGTTCCCTCTCTGCCTTTATAAAAGTGCATATACTTCATCAATTATGTACGATTAATGATACAACACGTAAAAGTTTTATATGTACAAAATGCCAAGAAAGAGAAACCAGTTTCCACCTTTACCTGTGATCAGAGTTGCAAATTAGTTCGTGGTTAAAGGATCTAGACATTGGATTTAATCTCGACAATGTTTGATATCATGAGTCGAGGTATTTATATCTAACCATTTATTTATGCATTACAGATATGTGAATATCATGAAGTTCTAAAATATGAAATTAATGTAAATTTGTGATTAATGGCTTAACATAAATAATTAAAGTTTGCAAGAGAAACACGCACCAAGAACACCCCCAAGAGCAAAACCAAAAACAGACACTCTGATTGGACAGAGAAACTCTGATACACAGAGATCCCTTACACCGAGAGGATTACACAGAGAACATTCAAAATGATGAACTAAGAAAGTCACAAGTCATAGTTTACCGTTTCAACTTACAAGTACTTGTATTCAAGTGGGATATATTGAAAATTCAAAGTTTCAAATTAATAACCAATTGCACCAAATAAATAATTGGGGTGAAAGAGAAAATGATTTAGGTTTGGGTGATGGCTGCATACAAGAGCTGATTCCAAAGATCAGGAACTCCAGGAAGACACCAATGGCTACAGTCTGGTGCATAGTGGCCTCCATAGCCGTAGCTTGAAGGGTGTCCATCTTTTCTCAACTGTGATAAGCTTGTTATGTTAATCAAATAAACTGGTTTTGACATTGTCTTCAACACTTGCTCCACTACAGCTTCTGCTGGATGTGGACCAGCAGGATACTTTGTCCCCACCACAGGTTGCTCTTGTCCTACGCAGTTCTTCGCTTTCGGGTCCGCCCAATCACTTGCACTACAAACAAATTATGCATACATTAATATATTGTACGTTTCATCTTAATTAACATATATATATATATATATACTTACTTAGTATGATCGGGAGAAACACCCTGAAAGAAAACCCTGGTCTTGTTAGGATCCACATTGCTTTCTACCCATCTGGCCCATGTTCTTAATCCTTTCTCAAACGCTACCAAACGGTCCATATCTTTGTATATACTGTTTGCTTCTTGAATATAATCCCATCTGCAACACACACACACAAAAAGAAAGATCATAATATATATATATATATATATATATATATATATATATATACACACATACTTATTTGCAAGTGTACGTACGTAAGAAATTGGAGTCCAAGCAAAGGAATTCATAAGAGCTATATAAATCTTCTTAATTAAATACATACGGTTGTTTCCTTCCTGTGTGAAGCCACCAATGCCAAGTATTGAAGATGAGTGCGTCAATTCCCTTCCAATTATTCCCACTCTCAATTGAGTCAAGCTTTAGAACTCTTCCAACATTATTGTCATTCATAACGTCAACAAGAAATGGATTGCGCCATAGCATCAATGAAACATTGTATGCCTGCGCGCAAAATATGGAATTAAGTGGATCGAGCTAGAATGAGTGCACTATATTGTACTACCTCCGTCCCTTTTTAATGGTCCATTATTGATTTTATAACTTTTTAAGGGAACATGCAATTAATGCATTGTTCCCTTTTAAAATTACCAAATTGTCCTTTTTAATTTAAATATATATAGTTACAAAGTTTAAATTTTTTTTAAAAGATAAAGGACAATTATAGAAATATAAGAACAAGATGCTTTGACTTTTCAAAGTGGACAACTAATTTGGGACATGTAAAAATAGAAAAATGGACTACTAATAAGGGACGGAGGGAGTATATATTAAGATGGATATTAAAGTAAAAGAAGAATAGTTATATATACAATATATAGGGATATATGAAAGATATTATCATTAATACTCACAGGAAACCTAAATGTGGAGAGGTCTTGCTTTCTGACCAAGGTGTATTTAGCATGAGGTACTGCTATATGTAGCATGCATGTCAGTGACTGCCACTGATTCAAACTCAATGAGTCTCCTATGAACATAATGCTCTTCCCCATAAATCTCCTCATGAAATCTCTACCATTCAACCTACATCAACAATATTTTAATACCCCATATATATATACATGTGTGTGTGTGTGATCAAGTTTAATTGGCTTCAGGTACAACATCCATCAAATAAAAGTCCTTGTGAACTGGTGCCATATATATATATATTTAAGTCAATATATATATATATATATATATATATATATATATTAATTGACACCCTCTTATATATCCTAGCTAGAACAATTTTGGGAATTCACTATCAACAACTCCAATTCTATTGTTGTTTATGTTGCGCAATTAATGTAAATATGAGAATGGATATATATATAGCTTTCAAGTTACGGATTTTTTCCACATGCTAAACTGGACAATATGATGTACAGGCAACAAAACAACCAAGCTACACCAAGAACTCGTTTATATATACAAACACCTTGTTTTAATATTATATGTATGCATGTTTCCCTTCAATCTTTTTAGGTAAATGAAATGCAGGTTGAATCTTGCAAGCAATTACCTAAAACACCATATATATGGAAACAAATTTAGCATTTAAGCCTTTAAATATGGTACTATCATAACTATAATATCCTTTTCAATTTAAGTAGAAGAAAATAGAAATTAGATTAACAAAATTCAACTAACAAAGCAACTCAGCTTAAATACTTAAAACTTAATTATCATCCCCGCCCAGAATTGAATTGTTAATTTAGGTGCTGTTTGATAAAACTGAAAATTTATGTATTAAATATTTTGAGAGCCCAGTATGTTAAATGGTAATTGTAGACCGGGAGTTTCTTTGATATATATATATATTTGAATTTTAAGTATTTTTCTTTTTTGAAAGGTAAATGTTAATTGTGTAAATAAAAATGGATAATACTTAGCTACTCACTCGTGAGTAGTGTGAAGCTAGTCACCTCTATGTGATCCAATAATAAAATAACACATCATATTTAATAATAAAATAATCCACACCTAAAAACACTATATACATTTATTCAATAGTTGATCTGAGAAAGTAAAGAAATGTGTGAATTATTTTATTATTAATGGTAATGTGTTATTTTGTTATTGGATTACATATGAGTGAGTAACTTTACCCTACTCACCAGTGAGTAGCTAAGCATTGTCCAAGAAAAATGATGTACATCACAAAAAAAAAAAAAAAAAAAAAAAGCATAAGAAAGACTATATAAAGCATATTTACAATCAAACAAACCCAGCCCAATCCAGTTGTTTTAAGTTCGTGTTGAGGAGTTGAATAATAAGTGAAGTCGCTATTACTTGTAACTTTATCTAATTTAGGTGGCATTTATTTTTTGTAAGTGATATTCAAACCGCCTTACTAAATGTACTTAATATAAGTAGACACGACTTAATCTAATCATAATTAAATATTTAATTGAGTTATTAAATGACACCTTACACATAAAGTTTTGAATAATGGTAGACGGAGAGTTTCTTTGATTGATATATATATATATATATATATATATATATATATATATATATATGAATTCTAAGTATTCAGTGTTTAATAATAAGTGATCGATGTGACTATCACTTGTAACTTTATGCTAATTCAAAATGACGTTAAGTGATATTTAAATTAGGTTATTAAATGTACTTTTTTTTGGATAAATTATTAAATACACTTAATGGGATATATGCTTAATATAATCAGAATAAAATACTTAGTTAATTATTAAATGACACGTTAATATATAAAGTTTTGGGTAGCTAGTCTGAACTGAATAATATATGTTGACAGGGCTTAATACTTGATTTAAGAGACTGCTGCACCTAGTCCCGAACTCGATCAAACCCAATAATGCGTTTAGTAGGTTGTCAATTATGACATGTATGCTTCAATTATGGATGACTCGTAAGCCAATTGAAAGAGGTTAGTTAGAGATGTTCCTTATATTTTTATTTAATTAATTCTACTTAATTTCTTTTTTTATTTTTTGGACTAATCAGATCTCCCTTTTAAATATTTTGTGGTTCGACATGTCACAAATGCTAGCCATAGAAGTCAATACAGGAGTTCAATTATTGATAATTTTTATTATATATATCAAATTGGGGAATAATGTACATGTTGTTTCAGACAGATCGATCATCATTGGGTTGTCCATTAATTAAGATTCAATGCATGTGAGTACACCAGCAAGAAATCACATTTATTCCAAAATGAATATAAATAAGCTGTGCCTAATTTAAATTTTTTTTTTTATGAAGTTGAATTAATATATATACATGCATTATGTGCTTCTGAATTATATATGTCACAGATGTTAGGCATGCAAAGTCAACTGGAAATTAAAAGATTAGTTATTGATTTTTTCTTTATCATCAAATTACATAAATACATGTAGGTGATCACAACCGACAGTATCATATATCTGAGTGTTTAATTTATGGGATTCAACTGCTATAATTAAGAGTTGTGGGTACGTGGGTCTGGGGATTAGCTAGGCAGCAACAATCACAGAATTGACAAGGGCTAGTAAGAAGAATGAAGTTCCAAATATATATATATAAATTTATTTTTAATAGGAAAATAGTGTATGAAACAGCTAGCTTGCCAATCTTTTTTAATTTCTCTACCCGGCCCTATTTTGTTGTGTAAGCAAATTATATTCTTGACATTATTAAATATTTGAGCTTTAATTATAAGAACTCATTCTTGGATTATATATTTTTGTTCCTTTAATTAATTAAAACTAATTAATTATAGCCAGCTCTAAGAAATTAAAACTTAGATTGATCAGGTAGAGCAGAGTTTAAAAAGTGGAGACAAATTATTCAATATTTGTAGTCCAAATGCATGTTTTGAAGCTTACACAAACAACTCAATTACTTGTTCGTGCTTAATTATTCAAAATCACACACACATTTTTCGTGTGTCCAGTTGAGTGTGTGACTTACCTACCCCAAATAAAAAAATAAAAAAAAGCAAGAAGTTCACATACGATCGATTTATTGTAGTAATTAAGCTAATTACGTGCTTAAACATATATACATGTATACATATATAGAAGAAAAGAAAAAAAAGCTTAATGATGGCTCTCTCTTTTGAACTCATGATGATCATATATGCCATTAACCATTGGACTGAATATTGTTTGTCTGAAGGTGGTAGCTCATGATGATTCACGATGAACTCTTGCTCATGTATATATTATAAACAGTAAACACACGCATGTGAATTGTGTGTATATACACTTTAAACATTATTGTTATTATGACTTAATTATGCTCCACATTTTAATTAAGCTTTCACAATGTGGACATGAAAAATACACATTAATTAGTCTCATCATATATATATGGAGTATGTTCCAGCTAGCTAGCAGCAAAGCCAAAAGTACAGATTCAAAGACTAGCTCCTTTTTCTGTATTTTGGGAAAATAAAGTATATTAACCTGCTAGCTAGCTCCTTACAAACACTATACCATTATATATATCACACACGTTGTTATTGTTTGCTAGCTATACCATCAATTTGGTATATATATATATATATATATATATATATATATACCAAATTGATGGTATAGCTAGCAAACAATAACAACGTGTGTGTGTGTGTGTGTAAAATTAATTAAGCTAGGTTGGAAGTAATAAATTACCTTGGTAAGTTGCAAGAAGTAGGTTGCCATCTGTAGTTGAGATAGGCTGTCTGTGGCCGACCATTGTTTTGGCAGTTGAATTCTTGCTCAATGAAGGGACAATCACGACTTGAGTTGTAGAGAGGATGATAAGAAGGGTCATACACCCATCTTCCTCCATAAACATCACAGCCTACTCCATTAATTAGGTACTCTCCATGTATTTGTTGCAGTACCAGTAGTACTAGTGCAACGCCGCCGGTCACAACAAATGCACCCATGCATTTAATTATGAGAGAGCACAGAGAAGATCAGAGCAGAGTGAGAGGATATATATATATGTGTGTGTGTGTTATAGCTGGATCTATAAACAATATGTAATGGGTATTGAGTGTTTAAATCTATATATAAGAGGGCTATCTGAGGACGCATTGGGTATTCTTATGGAGGCCACGAAGGGAGATGGGAATTTTCACAAACATGACATGCAAGAATATATATGTACATGTATTAATTTATATTATATTTAGTATATATATATATGCATTTGATTTCATGTCTCAGCATGACATAAAGAATACAAAACAAAGAGAATCTTATCATGTGTCCTATCCCTATACAAAGACGTAAAAAACAAACAAATTATAGGGCACAGATATTGTCGTGCTTAAGGAAAATGGGTTACAGAAAGAAATCCCATGATCTGGCATATATGCGTTAGCAGCATTAATATATTTATAAAATGTAAGAAACAATTATAGTTTTTTTTTTTTTTTTTTTTTTTGGTTGGCACCGAACTCAGCTAGGCAGGGTCTTTCGGTACCCATCCAAAGTTACAAACCAGGTATGCTGTCAACGGCCCCACACCTCAACAACAATTTCAGTCAAGATTTATAATAACGATGGATGAATTTGAACCTGAAATCTGTCAACTTAATTGGTGGATAACTGTCAACAGCATCCTCTAATAATTGTCTTAATTTATTGAATTTTGAACCATATAACAAGAGACTAATATAGGTAGGATATAACTTTATCAGTATCACATGCATGATGCTAGTATGATAATTGATCTATAATAATACTAGTAGCTCAACAGTCTGGATCTGGAATAGTTACATATATAGTCGGTTCATTCTTTTCTTTTCTTTTTTTCTTTTAAAAAAAGTATAGCCGTCGGTTCATTTTTAAATGACAATAACATGCCATCTAACTTTCCGAAGAAAAAAAAAAAATTGCCACCGCCATATAATATTAGATTGGCTCCAATTTTTCTAATTGAATCCCATTAAATAGAATATACTTTGAAAAAAATAATAGAATATACTTATTATAGACGACCCAAGAATTTTGTTGAGTGAGGTTTCCATTAAAAAATAATAAGAGAAAAAGATTTGAAAGCAAATTTTCCATTAATAAATATAAACATTTATATTTTTTATTGATAATACTTTTATTTGAGATATTTACAGTTGTTCTCAATGAATTTTTACATTAAATAAAATATTCATCTAAAATTGAAAAGAAAATTTATGTGTATTTAAGCAACACAATTATGCCAGATAAAACAAATTCAAATGTGTGTTTGTATTTTAGTATAAATCTCATTTGCTGACACTGAGTCTCAACAAATCTCGAAATTTCTTGCTTGAAATAATTTAAAATTTAATAAAAGAAGCTTGTTTTTGTATAAAAAAACTTGAAGTATTTTTAGGTAGGTTCTCCAAATCAAATATCAATTTATAATTAAATCAAATCAAATAAATAAAGAATTGTGTGCTTTATTATATGAGTCTAAGGAGAAATGAAATTTGAGGCTACAAATTATCAGCAGAGACAATTTTAGATTTTATAAAATTATATATATACAAAATAAAAATATAAAAAATTGAAGGGGTAGTTTTAAAATTTTAAAATCTATATATACAAAAATCAAATATAAAATGAGAGAGGGGTTCGATTAGGTCATATCCAAAAAAATTAGTGGGGCAGATGATATATATTGAAAGTTCTTCATAATTTTAGTCTGAGTACTTTCAAAATTTTACATAATGTGGCAGTTGAGTTGTGATGATGCAGGCACGGCAAAAATATATGTTCCAAAATTTTAGTTAGCACTACCCATGAACAAACCCCTAATTTATAAGACCAACTATGAATTTGACCAATTTAGCTTCACAATCCAACACACATGTAATGCAAAATCACTTCTTCCAGCAATTCTCCTTTTTCATATCAGAAATTTCCTCTTCATCGCAATAACAAGTTCATCCAAATGAGAAGTGGAATTTCATTGAACGTGGGTTCAGTTACGGGAAAATTTGGGTATTTAAGTTAATAAAGAATGATTGTATTGTATAAATTGATAATTTAAAGTGTTTAAAAATAATAAAATTAATTTATCATTATCAGGTTTGTTTTTTAGTTTTATAAAACATGAACGGCTCCCATTATTCAAAAATAGATAAAACATGATAGGAAAGACATCGTTGGACTTTATACCATTTATTATTACTATTAATTATATCACTTTACTTGTTTTGTTAATTGAAAATAATGAATTAGATATGCGCGTGCTCAAGTGAAAATGGTTTTTTTCCTACAAGAAGAGAAGACTCATTTGTCCCCCTCGTTTTCGAGAAAATTCAACGACCGCGTCTCTTGAAACCCTAAAATCCGATAGTTAGGAGACAAAAGTACGTTCTAGAATTGCGATAGAACTCTCAAGACCCCCTCGCTTCGTTAGCGGATGATTGTATTCTCTACCCCCTCTTTCTCTCTCTCATTGTCGAGGTAATTATGACTCAATATTAATCCTCCCCTCTTTTTACTCTCTCTCTCTAGGTTGCTTATTGTCCAAAGTTCAGCATCAAGAAAAAGTGTTGCTTTTGGATTGATTCAATTTCTATGCATACGAACCGATGGAATAGATTGTATGATTTCGGAATTCTACCATCAATTGCAGGAACTTCGTGTTTTTTAGTTGCTGTCCAAGTCCGTGCTGATGCTATTGTCGTAGATTGATGATGAGGTTTTATATAGATTTGAGAGATGGATTTGCAATTGGGTGCGATCGTTGAAGAAACGGGATCGTAATGATTTTGGAGCGCTTGGAATTTAATCATTTTCAGTACATTTCTACATTATAAATTTTCTATTTTTTTTTTTTTCTTTTGTCAGCTTGGTTATTTCCTAAAAGCTTGAAATTTTGAAGACAAAGCTCGCTCGTCACTTCATCTTGTGATACTTAGCTTCCACTCTACTGATACAAAAACTTTTTATTGTTTTATTTATTTTGTGAATTATTTCAGCAATTAGTGCCACTTAGGTTCCTAGCAGGGGAATAAAAAATGATACTTAAGTTCTGAATTCTTGAACCTTACCACCCAATTTTTAATTATTATTATTTTTTTTCTAGACTTCATATTTGAGTTTCTTATTGTACCCATAATGGTCGACTTGGGTTTTGGTGTCATATGAGAAATAAAGGAAGGCTTTGTTGTTGTGGGAGACCTGCTTTTTAGTCTATTTAATTTAATGTGCTTCAAAATTGTTTCTATATCGGCAGATTTGGGTTTTGGGGGCTGACTTAAGATAGATAGAAAATTTTGTGATGGATGGTTCTCATGGTAGTTCTAATGCACCGCCTCCTTTCCTCACAAAGACGTATGAGATGGTGGAAGATACAGTCACAAACTCCGTTGTTTCCTGGAGTCAAAGTGGCCAAAGCTTCATTGTGTGGAATCCACCCGAATTTGCTAGAGATTTGCTACCCAAGTATTTCAAGCACAATAATTTCTCCAGCTTTGTCAGACAACTGAACACATATGTAAGCAAATCAGTCAGTGTAATGTTTTTTCTCAAATTTGATGTTTTCCATGTCTATTATTTGATCTGTCTTTTAGTTGTTGGCAAGTATGCATGTCAGAACAATACATCTACATTCGGTTGGGGATGAATTTTTGAAAATAATGAATAAAATATAACCCTAAATTTTCATTTTTATTTTAAATATGGGAAGTAGTCTTGAAACGTAAATTTAATACTTTTTATTTCTCAATAACCATATTGAGGGTTAATGTGTGCTTGGTTTAAATTGTTCTCTTTCCAGTTCTGGTGTTCCTCTATGTGTTCTTTGATATTTTTAGCTCAAGTACAAGACTGTTTTGTGTCATCCAGGGTTTTAGAAAGATTGATCCTGATCAGTGGGAGTTTGCAAATGAGGAATTCATAAGAGGACAAAGAAATCTTCTAAAGAATATTCACCGTCGCAAGCCAATTCATAGCCATTCTGTGCCGAATCAAGGGTTTTCAGTTCCATTAACTGATTCTGAAAGAAGGGAGTTTGAGGAGGAGATTCAGAAGCTAAAACATGAGAAGAGTTTACTTCAGTTGGAGTTACAAAGGAACAAGCAGGAGAAGCAGGAATATGAAGTTGACGTACGGTTACTGGGAGAGCGGTTGGAGTCCATGGACCTCCGACAGAGGCAAATGATGTGCTTCTTGGCTGAAGAATTGCAGAAACCCAGGTCTGGCCCCAATTTCATGCAACAGTCGGAAATTAATAATAAAAAGAGAAGGTTGTTGATATCTAGTTGCTTATATGATGAAGCTAATATGGGAGAGAACCAGATTTTGACTTTCAAGAAGGAAAGCCTAGATTCATCATCTGTTCCAGTGCTAAATTTGGAGCTAATTGAGAAGTTGGAATCATCCTTAATTTTTTTGGAGAATTTTCTGCATTTGGTTGGTCAAACTTTGTCTGAAGAAATATTTGATTTTGGTGTGCTAACACAACCTTCACAAGTCATCATTATGGAAACACATGCAACATCTAGAGATTATGATGTGAATGTCCAGCCGTTCTCACCAAACTTACATCTGTCATCACCTGATTCAAGGGATCATTCGTCACCAGAGTTGGCTGGATCTTCAAGTCATGTGGGGAGCCCTGCTGGTTCATCTATATGCGTTGATGTAGATGTTTGGACCAAGTCTTCAGGGATTGATGTAAATTCAAAGCCTGCTGATGTTTCTGAAGTTGATACTCCAAAAGAACGGGTAGAGGGGATGACGCTTCCAGTTGTGCCGACTGGGGCGAATGATGTCTTTTGGGAGCAGTTCCTAACAGAGACTCCTGGTTCCTCTGACACACAGGAAGTTCAGTCAGAAAGAAGAGACACTGATGGCAGGAAGATTGAAAGTAAGCCAGCAGATAACCGTAAATATTGGTTAAATATGAATAATGTAGACAGCCTTACAGAAAAGATGGGGCATCTCACTCCAGCTGAAAGAACTTGATGTTGGTTGATTACTTCTTTCAACATTTATATCATAGTGGGTCGCTGTATAATAATCCAACCAAGAGGTATTAATGATTTAGATCATATACATCTGTATATATTTGACCTTTTGAGCTCATTGCAGTGGTACACACCAGATGCATGCCCTTCAGGTTTTGATGTTGCAAGTTTTAACATATGTATATTAATTTTTGTACTTGTATGATATCAGGCTATGGTTTTGTGCATATACTCATTTGATTTCCTTTTTGCTGCAACTTAGATTCACACTCATGCTTTTCCTTCTATCTTATGTTCCATTTTGGGACTATGCATTTTCATTTTAATGCTGGGAGATGAGCTCATGTATTACGATTACCTATATTTTTGCTAAATTAGTGAATTACGAAGTTGTTATGTGTGGATGATTTGGTCACCTTTCTACAATGTGCATGTAATCGTAGTTTTGGTTTTACATCGGTAGCATGTTTAGAAATTCAAGGTGTTTTTACTTCAAACTCCAGGGACTGTTTCAGCAAGTTCAATTTACTTCATGTCCTGTTACCTCATCACAGTGCATTTGATTATTATTTTCTTTGGTAAGTCACATTACATTTGATTATGGATGAACTAACTTGGACTGAATAGGAGGGAGTTCTCATTTTGGATGTTTTGTAGCTAGGTTGATGAGTCTTAGAGAGGGGCTAAATTTCTCATCAGAACTTAGAACTTCAGAAAGATTGTTTCTGAATTAAGCAAAACCATTTAACTGAGGCAAAAAAAATGTTATTGAGGCATAAAATGTGGTATATTTAATTAAAATATGAGGTAGAAAACTGTGCAAAATCTAGGACTGATTGCTAAAAGCGCAACTATTTTGTTATTAGATTTATCATATAAGCAAGGGGAAGAGATTGAAGTGTGAGTTCTCCCTAGAATTAGACCAAGATGGATAAACTATGGAAATGCTTCAGAAGTGTGTATGGAATACATACCTTAAGATTCCTTGATCGCACAGCTTAAGAAATGGAAATAACCTAGAGGACATAGGATTTGGATTTGTTAACCATTAGATTACTTCAGCCCACTTTTTATTTAGGTTTTTGATTGATTGAACCAGTTTGATAAATAATTAGGAAGTTCAATATAAAAAATGATACCCATGAGGCAAAATGGTCATTTTTTTCGAAGGCTGGTGGGCCAGAGCCCTGGAGAGCTGAGGAAGTTTTTGTATCATAAAACTTTTGTATGAGGATATAAGAAACTACATTTTATGGGTTTTAAGAAGTCTATGTGAAGAATTTTATATTAACCCTCGTCTTTGGAAGAATTTCTTAATGCGCTTTTCATCCTAGAGAAGGAAATTTATCTTTCTGGTTTGCATTTGTGGCTCTCTAGTCATTATCATAGATCCACTTGCAATTTTTCTATGTAAATATCTATGTAGTTCATGTTTTATTCATCCAAAGGATATTTGAACATCCCCTGAATGGATGGGGTTAATGAGTCAGGTGCAAAGCCCTGAATCGGACAAAATCTTGGGTAGATGTAATGTAGAGGCCTCTTAATGCTCCCGATGTTAAAATTCCAAAGAACAGATAGTAGTCATGATAATGACCGCCATATTTACTGGGGTGATCAATGTCTTCTAGGAACAATTCATGACGAAATTCCTGGTACATCTGGGAACAGGTAATTTTAGTGAAGAAGGGAAACTGATTCAAGAAAGGGTGACAGCAAGCTGTCTGATCACATGAATTTTTGGTCCAACATGAATAATTTAAATAATCTTGCACTCCTAAGGAACATAAGATGCTTCTTTGTCGAGCCGGCAGAATTTAATGTTCTCATTCTCTGGGCACTTGACATCTCAATGACTGGTTGTATATTAAATTGACCTACAGGAGGAAACTTCCATGATGTAGATTGTGGACATTCCTCCTTCCTGCCTCAATGTGTGATGCACAACAGATGCATGCCTGCCAGTTTTTTATTGTTGCAAAAGGTTAATTGTGTGCGTTAGTTTTTATTTTTTTTCCCCTTCTCCTTAAACATGCATACTTTATCAACTTACAGGTTTGTTTGCAAATTTGTTCATCTTCTTTCCTTCTATTGACATGTAACTAACGTTTCCGAGTTATGCTTGTTTTCTACTTTTAATTTTCTTTCAATTCATGAATTTATTTTTCATGTTAGGAAATTGCTACATAGCCAGAGACTTGATGCATTTCTTGGATTGGAAAAAAGAACTTTTAGCTAGTACAGAGTATATCCTTCTTCGTCTATATGTGGAGAAAATGGCTCTTTCTTCTAAAAGAAAATTATATTCTCTTTTAAATATTGCCTGGCCATAGCAGCTCTATTAATTGGACCTTAGTATTCCCTCCCCCCCAAATTTCTGAATGATGCATTGGTTCATAATTATATGATTGTTTGAACAAAAAAGTTGAATTTTTATTTATAATGGCCCTTGATTGATTAAAATAGAAGAAGGTACTTACTACTTAAAGAGTGTCCAAAGAATTTATTCAAACATATAGTCTGTTCCCAAGACAAATAGTAAAATTGTCCAAATGTGAGCTAGTGTTCTGGCTACAACGGTCGATGCCTACCATAAACAACTCAGCCAAGTGAATACTTATTTCGTCTGTTGAATACAAGGCTGGAAAGCAAGTCGACTGAAGGTTTAACCCTCATTAAACTGTCTTCTCTTCCCAGATGTGTTATTGAATTTTGAAAATTTCTTTTATTTGTTAGATGAGTTTAATGATGTTGTTGATTGATTCTAGCAGGAAGACACTGAAGGAGTTGTCGTTTTGGTGGATTGGGGTTGTCTGCATCAACAAAAGAGGATAATCCAGGTTGGGCATTCATGAACTGTCCAATTTCCTTGTTCTAGCAAGTCTTGAAATTGAAATCATATAGTGATCAATCTTTGTTAATATGCAAGCTTAAAAATTAATGTTCATGGGGATGGGAGGCTTATTTATGGGCAAAAGATGTGATGATAATTACTAATTAGAGAGTAGGATTAGGAATTGGGAGGGTAATTTACATATTAGCTCATTTTGGTTCAGGAGCCGTGGCTAATTAGGCACCTAATGCTGCTGTGGTGGAATTGATTATAGTTTTGTATATACGACGTGTGTACATAAGATTGCACTGTCTTCCTCTTTTTAAGTGCATTGCTTTCACCTTATTTTGTGGCGGAACTGATCAATTGTGTTTCTAGGTTAAGGCTATGGGATACAACTTAAAATTCTCATGAACTTTACAGGTCAGGTGGCATCGAGGATCCATTCACTCCCCCCGTGAGCTTGAAGGATGAATCCCATGCCAACATACTTTTACAGTTGGCTATCGCTTTACTAGCAGATGATCACTGAGACCGGGAGCTGGAAGATCAATATATACATGTATACAATATATATATATATATTTGTCAATATTTACAAATATCCCGTTGCTTGGTAGATCAGCTCTTGGTACTGTTCTTTGCCCCCACTAAATCCAGACTTGGATATTTTTTAATAATATTTTACATGTGATATTAAATTCGATGGCAAGGAAATGTATTGCCTGCTTGGTTTGTAATTATGAAAACAGTTTTATGTTTTCAGTTACAAAAATCTCTGTCTAGTTCAATTTTCAGAAAATTATTTTCTGAAAACTTAGTTATAAAAATGCCTTTTCAGAGAATTATAAAAGATTGTTTAGTTTTCTGATCTTTGAATTATTAAGAACTGTTTTCAGAATTACAAACCAAGTAAGCCCGTGAGTTCGCTGCAAAGAGGAGACAAGATCTTATTTTAATATTTTATGAAATTTACTCACCAGTTTTAATTTTAAATGTATCCCACCCCCCTTGGTGTGTTTTTTTTCTTTTTTGTGCAAGTCTATCCCATCCTTAACTTTTCTAAGATTTGGAAAGGGTAAACTAATAATAAAAGGAAAGTTATCAATGTTTACACTATATATTTTCATGTGAGGAATAGAAGAACTTTGGGCCCGCTTGATTTGTAAATTTGAAAATAATTTTTAAGAATTCATAAAATAAATTTATTTTTATTTTTATTTTTATCAGAGAACAATCATTTATAATTATCTGAAAATATATATTTTTATAATTAAGTTTTTTTAAAATTGAACCAAGTAAAATTTTTTTGAACAGTTTTTCAAAAACAGAAAATTGTTTTCATAATTACAAACTAAGCAGGTCTTTTGACTTCGGCTTCCAAATCTGCTTGCGTGAAAGGGACTAACAGAAAGAGTATTAGTCCAAACTAGTACTTTATTGGAGAGCAGTATTTGCAATGCAAGACCCAAAACTTTTTCTCATTTATGATTATCGCTCTTAATGATCCTCAAATTTAGTTTCTTTTCTTCCTAGGCAAAAGAAACCATTGGAATAGTTGGATCGTTTTTTCACCATCGAAATTCAATATAATAGAAGTAGAAGTAAAACAAGGGGAATAATTATTTGCCTATCAAATAATTCTTTGTAAATATAAATTTATTTATTTTGGTAATTAATCCATCCTCGTTTTTTAATAATCGTGAATTAATTCAAATATCTTGAGTGTTAGGGAAATTTCTCTTTATTTACAAATAATTTTAGTATTGTTTGACTGGACCTCTTGTTATTATATTCAAATATCTTTTCTCCCTCAATACTTAAATTAAATTTATTTTTGCAAATAATTTATGAAATTTTTCTCCAAATAACAGGTTGAATTGGGAATTATTTCAATATTAAATGGTAATTTTCATGTGGAAAACTAGTCGTTTATTTGCAAATGCAACGTGACACCATTTTTAATTCAGTACGAATTTATTGGTTTTATATGTATATTTAATTTTTAGGCTTTTGCTTTGATTTCACTCAATTAACCACAAAAACGCTTTTAATGAGACGACTAAACCAACCCAACCCCCACCCGACCTGTCCTTCCAATTCCAAAATCCAAAATCCAAAATCCAAAATCCAACCAACGACAATAACACCCAAAGGCAAATATTTCTTTCACCCAACAACAAACAACAAACAACAAACAAATATCATCAGATCAGATCTTCTTCTTTCTCGTCGATCAAACGCTTCAGAGAGATCTCTATATATCTATCTCGCGTCAAGCTCAGGTCAGTTTGAATTTCTCATTCAAGTTCCACGAATCATATCTGTTCGGTGCCCGAGCTACCCCTATTTTAATCTGCCTGCAATTCTCGCTTTTCTTTCTCGTCTAGTTTCATTCAATCTTTTCATAGTTTACATTATTGATTTTAATTGGAAATCCGTTTGGGAAAGTGTTTTAGCTACTGTTGATTGAGTATTTGATTGCAAAATGTGATGTGATATGCGTGGATTGAGGTTCAATAATCTGTAGAAAGAAAATTTTATTCTTTCTTCAAAACCCAACTTCTTGTTTCTTTCTACCATTGGTTTGTGTTGAATTTGGAGAACTGTAGCGGGTATTGACGAAACTCTTCATAAGAGCAGCTAGTGTTGTGCTTGAATTCATTTGACCTTTTTTTTTTTTTTTTTTGTTACTTTATTTGAACTTGGATTCACTAGTGAGAAAAAATTGATTCATTTTGTGGTTTCTTTTATGTAATTAGGAGGCAAGATGCAGAATTAATGAATTTGTGGTGTTTATACTTATTTGGAGAAATTTCTGTGTGGACTGCGATCAACTCAACAATTGATTCCGCTTACAAAAGGCTTCTGACGTGATACCTCTGGCAGTGGGCATAAGCAGCAATATAATGCCAAGGGATTTGAGTATTTAGTGTAATGGAAAGTCATTGGCAATTGGGTAGCTTGGGTTTGCTGGAGTTTAGATGGCTCTACCTTTAGAGAGGAACGGAGATGGTAGAGAGCAACTTGGATACAGAAAAAGTTGAGTGCACGGAAGTTGACATTCAGAACGGAATCCACGTGTTAGGTTTTCAGAGAGATCCTTCGTTCTCGGGCTGGTGTGATGAGAACGGAATAATCCATCCAGATCATGAACTAAAAGATGAGGATGCAGACGTAGAATGCTTCGATTTCGAATTACCTTTGCTTCAAGAAAGCGATTTCAGCAAAAATATGGATGGTGTTTCTACTCCTCGTCCAAGAATCAGAAATGAGAAGTATTTGCCTCTTGATATCGAAAATGGGCATGGAAGTGAGCTAAATTTCTCGAGTGACGGAGTTTATGGCTCCAATTTTTTTAATAACCATGAAGCATCACCACCAATTCACAAGAGCTCCATTTCTGTTTCCGATGTACTGAAGACATTGTTTTTCATACTTGTTTGGTACACTTTCAGCACATTCTTGACATTGTAAGTTTCTTCTTCACTGTATCAATCACTGGCTACATTTTTGTAATGATGTACTCTTGCTTATTGTTGCTTTATTTATTTTGCTCTTATGTATTTTGTTGTGGGCAGGTACAACAAAACACTGTTAGGAGAAGATCTGGGAAAGTTCCCTGCTCCTTTATTGATGAATACCTTCCACTTTGCAATGCAAGCTGTTTTAGCGAAATCCATTACATGGTTTTGGCCTCAGAGATTTCAACCTAGTGTAACTATGTCATGGAGGGATTACTTTGTAAGAGGTAATACCATCACCTTTGTGTCTTTTGTCTTCATTTCATAAATTTAGTATATTCTCTTCATAGAATGACTGGTAAAAATTTACAGCAGCTTAAGGTTTCTAACACTAATGGTCTCCTAGACTTTTGCAGTATCTTTCAATCAAGCATATTGCATACCATAACCACAAAACAACTAGGAAAAAAAAAAAACTAGAAAACTAGAAATTAATCAATTGAAACCCATTGAAGTTTGGAAGAAAACTTTTATTGATTAAATTTGATCAAACAAGATCTCTAAGAATATGCTGCAAAATCATGTTACGTTACATTCCATGAAAGTAAGAAATTAACTAAAAAAATTGATAAGAATGAAGGAAGCCAAGGGTTAATTGGGAAGGAAGGCCAGATTTGGTATAAGGGTAAGGAAATGGATGATAAAAGAAATACTTATAAAAAAAAATCCGATATTGGACGAGTGCGATATTACCACTGTAATTATAATGCGGACTCTATGAGCTATGGAACATGCAATTTACAACAAATTGTCTGGAGAGGGCTTCCAAACAATCTGATTAGAGAGGTGTAGGAAAAGAACAGGAATGATAAGAATTAGATATTGGACAAGTGTGATATTACCAGAATCTTTTTATTTTCTTTATATTGGAAGAATATCATAGGAGTGATTTTAGCCTATGATAGAATATGATTGGAGTGATTTATGGGATTGATTTTAGGAATCCTCCATCAATGTATTTTCCATATTTATCACTTGTATTCTTTCACCTATAAAAAAGAGGTGCTCATTATAAGCAATATCAAGAGAGAATATAATAAAGGTGATGTAGCCCTTTGGGCTTTGTGTGTCTATCCTTGTGTTCTTCATGTTTAATTTCTCTCTACATTTTTTAGTTCTTTCAACACTTTATGTAAGAGTTCTATAAGGAGGAGGTTATAAGAAAGAAGTTCAATATTCCTGAGTTTTAACACTGATGTTCTGATAATGTGAATCTGTGGTGCTCAAGTGAAATTTGTCACATTTGGTCTGGCTGAAGCTGAAGCAGTCTTGATGCGATCAAAACAGAATGTTCAAACAGAATTAGGGTGTTTAGCATTTTCTTCTGAAATACATTTAGGATAGGTTTAAAAAGGTGAAGCAATATCAGTTGTCCTATATTTGATAAAATGGGCGCTAACAGGGCAATGTTGTGAGCTCCATGCATCATTTATTGAGTTAGTGATTTTTACTGGAAAATAACTTTATTGAATGTTGGGGCATATAATCTCAGATGTAAATGCATATCATTTATTATTGTCTTTAAAAATTTTTCCTTTTTTTTTTGGGGTGGGGTTCTGCATCTGTTCTCTCGTCTTACCATCTTTTAGTGTTCCAAAATTTCAAAGTCATTTGAAATTTTGAATATTAGCTTTCCTTTCTTCTTTTCTTCTACCTTTGAGTTTATGCTATTTATTTATTAACTTCTCTAACAACTAATGCTACAGATGGACTTTGCCTTTCACAGTTGTACCAATGGCTCTTGGAACAGCACTGGATATAAACTTGAGCAACGCTTCCCTTGTTTTTATCTCTGTTACATTTGCCACTATGGTTGGTCATTCTTTTCTCTTCATATCCTTTTGTGATTTTAATGAAATGGGTCATATATTTTTTTTGGGTATTTCAGTTTCTGCACTCTACTGCAACAAAGCTTGACTGCAGTCTCGATTTTTTCTCCCTTTTGTTTTGCAGTGCAAATCTGCATCTCCTATATTTCTCCTCCTATTTGCTTTTGCATTCAGGTGAATTTCTTGTCATCTGACCTTCATATTTAATCTCACAGTGTCACTTTAGTTGATCAGTTAGGGATAGTGTGAAACAGTCCAATCATAGGCGGTCATTCAAATGTTCAAACAAGGGGCTGAAGCCTCAAACTCTGTAACTAAGTATTTATAATTGGTATAACTTTGCTAAGATTCGAGTTGGTTCTGCCTTACTCTAATTTGATTGCATCTATGTTTAATGCTTTAAGCTGCTGCAAAGGTATTTTATTTGCTTTTATGCAAACATCAATCATATACCGTTTACCTAAATAATCATAAACAGTACTTAGTCGATTCTTGATAACAAATATATGTAACAAAATTCTAAAAGAGGGGACAGCGCCAAGTAAGTGGAGGAAAACATGATAGTACCTATTAACAAAAACAAAAGGGATTTACTAAATTGCCACAATTATCGAAGAATTAAATTAATGTGTCATACAATGAAACTATTGGAAATAGTGATAGAGAAAAGATTTAGGAAATAATTCACAGAATCTGATAACCACTTTGGATTTATGCCAGGTAGATCCATAATGGAGGCTATTTACTTAATATGACAGTTGAAGAGTGTAGGAGTAAACAAAGAGATCTAAATATGGCCTTTATAGACTCAGAAAAAGCATGACAGGTTGCCGAGAGGTACAATTTGGTGGACTTTACAAGGAAAACAAATTCCTGTAGAAATGATAAAGATTATTCAACATATATACTTAAATTTTAAAACTAGAGTTCGTAATGCGTATGGTGAGATTTGTGATTTTCTGTAGATATGGGATTTTACCAAGGGATTGCACCGTCTGTATTTGTCCACTAATAATAATAGTTGAAATCACAGAAGACTTACAAAGAGTTCTTCTAATGTGTATGTTGTTTGTTGACGACATAGTGTTATTGGACACTTCTAAAGAAAATTTACCAATAAAATTAGTATTGTAGAGAAATGCTTTAGAATCAAAAGGTTTGAGAATTAGTAAGACCAATATTGATATATGGAATGTAAATTTAGTAAAGAGTCAAATATTGATGATATAATGATCACGCATCAAAACCAAAAGGTTAGCCAAATTTTATTTTTTTTCCCTAGTTGGGACTCACACACACTGCCTCCACTGAGGTTCGAACCCCTGACCTCCCTTTGGGAAGTAGGAGCCTTGTACCGCTAGGCCACAAGCCTATTGGTAAGGTTAGCCAAATTGACCCTTTTTGATACTTAGCGTCAATAATAGAAAAGAATGGTGAGATAGATGGTGATATAATTAGTAGAATTGGAGCAGGTTGGACGAAATGGAGACAGATTAGTGGAATTTTATAGCATAGAATATCGACCAGTTATTAGGTCGATTATTTTAGATGGCTTAGAGTGTTCAGCTTTAAAAAATAAATAAAAGCAACGAATTCATGTTGCGAAAATGAGGATGTTAAGGTGGATGATAGGGGTGACTAATAGAGAGGGTTACAAATCAAAATGTGAGGGAAAAATTGGGAGTGACACACCTATTAACGATAAGATAAGAGAAAATAGACTCAGGAGGTATGGACATATCCAAAGAAGATCTATAGATGCTCCAGTGAGAAGAGAGACTAATTTGCCTAGAAGTTAGGAGGGAAAGAGGGCGACTGAAGTTAAAATAGGATGATATCTTTAGAAAGATTTAGAAAAGTTAAACATTATAGGAGGGATGAATTGTAATAGAAAAGAATGGAAAAAGAGAATTTATGTAGCCGACCCCATTCATATGGGATTAAGGCAAGGATGATGATGATGATGGTGTTCGTTCTAAAATTGTTATGTTTGTTGATGTTCCTTTACACTTCAAAAATCTGTATTTGTAATTTAAGTATTGGTGCCTTTTGGGCAATGCCTGTCTGTGATCTTTGTCATTTACAAATTAATATACTCTCACTTTGTCTTCTACTAATTGCCATATAAATTCATCTGGCCATGATGTGCCCTAGTGGGGGTGCTATTCTTTGAACAGGAATTGTAGGTTTATTTTTTATTTTTCTTTCTTTTTGAAATTGACCTCATGTAATGGCTTTTAATGTCAAATTTTTATGGAAGGTTGGAGTCTCCAAGCGTCAAGCTTGTAGGTATCATCTTAATTATCTCTACTGGAATATTATTAACAGGTATGTAGCTTCATTATTTGCACCAGTTCCAAATAATTTATTTCTGTAGGCATTTATTAGTTTTCTGTTTGTCCTTCATGTATTTCATCATTAAGGACAATCACAACAATAATCCAAAATTGCAATAAGAACATTATTTTTACTTATGCATGATGGCTAAATAGGAAGTGATGCCTGATTACTTTCAGTTTTATTGTTTTTCATTCCGAGGACATTCTTTTGCCCGGTGGGATTTATGTGGCCCCACTATGTTAATTCACAAGGAATAGTTAAAGGGGTGTAATGCTAATGCTGATAATGTACTCATTCGCGATAAGCAAGAATTAGAAATTTCATTTGTAGCAGAAGTGTAATATCTTACCATATACAAAATGCATGATACAATACATGATATATCTGTATGTGTACTATGAAGTTCACGCTTCCATTGCTTTTCTGAGTTTTTGTAAGAAATTATTTCTTACCGAAGGGAGAGCTGAACAAGGCTCCCCCTTCTGTACTCTCCTCTTTGGGGAGAGAAGGGGAGAGTACCATGAAGAGAAGGGGAGAGTACCAAGAATCTTATAATGTAATTTAATGTGAAAGGCACTCTGAGGAAAACAAAGTCGTATAAAACTCCTTAATTTTCTTTTGCCTTCTCAAATAAAATGAGTATTCTCTCTACCGTCGTCAGAATATACATTCATATAAATTATGTTTTCTAGGTTAAGGAGTCTAATTAATTTATTTTTCATTAAGTATTTAATTGCAAATGCTGAATCGCCCTTGAAGGTGGAAATTTTCATAAAGATATTACCTAGAATAGTAAAAAAGAAGAAACGATTGCAAGGTAGAGTTAGAAGTTTTGTGTTAGCATTTGGAGTGTGGAACAATGGAAGTTCATACATTTTATGATATTTAGAGTGTTCTATTTGCATCTTATTTATCAGTGCAGTCAACTGTCTTGGTGCGAGAAATGCATCTTATTAAACTACTCATATTATTAGATATATGGTTGAATAGGTATTTGACACTTTTTGTTATGTTAATGACCCTTGCTTGGCACGTGTGACATGCTGCTAATCATTGGATAATCTTTGCATGATGTTCCTTTATGCTGACGAAGCAGCCATAATCTAATGTTAATATTGTGGAACCTAGTTAAAGTAATTAAGCTTAGTCAAATTAGAGTGTTGATGATTCCTTCTGTTTTGTATCATTCAGCCATTTATCTGACATCTTTTTAAATAATTGTCATGCCCTTCTAATTCTTTGTCATTAATAGACCACTTTTTCTTAATTTAATTTCATCTTCTGGGTTTTCTCCGTCTATGACTGAAAACTTAGCTTGCTTAATGTCACTTGATTAGTGTATATGACTTGGGCTCTTCAATGAGCGTGGAGGATCAGTATCGGATATGACATGTGGTAGATTAAGTAGCATGGAGGTAGACAAGGAGTATGGACATTGTACTACATAAATTTGCTAACACAAAAAAATCTAGAAAAAAGTAGGACAAGAGCACACAAAAAAAAGGGCAACATTTTTTTTTGGTAAATAAAATGTATTAGAAAGTTTTGAGCGCCTTTGTTAATATATATTTACTTGTAAAAAAAAAAAAAAAATGTATTAGAAAGCGTTCAAAAGGGGAACGCATCCCAAGAGATATACAAGAAACCAAACAAAAAGCCCTATGTACCCAACGAATCCAAAAAGTCCACAATCTCATCTAAAGATATACAATTTCATGAAAACCGGCGAGGCTAAGTGATGTAGGACAAAGGACAGGCTCAAATAGAAGAAAGTAAATAAGAGTTATGGGCTGGAAATTCAAAAACAAAGCTAAGATTCAGGGTTGTTAGTAAAAAAGAAGGATTGGAAATAACAAAGAAAAGCCTATTGGAATCATTCCAATGGGACCTAGGTATCACACCTAGAGAAGGCCTCACACCCTCAGAATTTATGAATCACTCACAAAGAAATCTCAATGGATAATCTTATTCAATCATTCGCTGAGTATTCAGAGTTACATAGTATCCTTTTTATAATAAAAGAAGACCCTTGGATTACCCTACAATGGAGGTAATCAAAAGTTGACTCTAACTTAATAAAGTAACAAATAACTTAATTGATGCAATTTAATCTAATTATGCAATTTACCAAAACAATGCAAATTTTCCATAATTAATGCAATTACCAAATTAATGAAATTTGATCAAATCCCCTAATAATGCAATTTACCAAAATGATGCAGATTCACCATAATTAATGCAATTACCAAACTAATGCAATTTGACCAAACCACCTAATTATGCAAGACTCCAAGTGGATCCCATCGTCTAGCATGTGCCAAATAAAGGTTTGAGCTCTAGAATCCTTCTTGCCACACCTTTTAAATACTTTAGAAGGCTGATGCCACTATTCTCTACCAATTCTCTCCGGCTTGGAAAAACTCGGCTCCGACGAGTTGAAGGGATGAATTTTTTTTTTTTGATAAATAAAATTTTATTAAAAAACGCTTAAAAGGGGAGCGGATCCCAAGAAAAGTACAAAAGACCACAAAGGCCTCAAGCCTTCAAGGAGACCAAAAAGTCAACAATTTCCTCCAACGATCTATGATCTCTCCCTCAAACCCAACAAAACAGAGTGGAAAGAATCGAGAATTTAAGCACCGAAATCGACATCGCCTTTCCTTCAAAATATCTCCTATTCCTTTCAAGCCAAATACACCACCACACACAAAGTGGCGTAGCCCTCCACGCATCCTGACTATGAGCCCCCACAGGGCAACCTCTCCACGCCTCAATCAACCCTCTAGTGGATCTGGCATAACCCAAGAAAACCCAAATAAGCTAAGCATCAAATCCTAACACTCTCTAGTCAAAGAGCAATGAATGAGAAGGTGATCCACTGATTCCTCATCACGAAGACACATATAACAACGATTGACCATCACCTGGCTTTTCCTTCTCAAATTATCCTGGGTTAAGATCCTACTCAGAACCGAAGTCCACACAAAGAGAGCCACCTTGAGAGGAGCCTTAGAACACCAAACAGACTTCCAAGGAAAACGAACTCCAGGATCAAACGAGAGACACTTGAAGAAAGACCTCATCTCAAAACGCCCCTGGGAGTTTGCAACCCATGACCAACAATCCGAATCCTCCTCCACAATCCTCTGGCGATACAACAGCTCCAAGAAACGAATGGCCTCCTCGATCTCCCAATCCTGAAAGAAACGCCTGAATCGAACATCCCAAACTAGTCTCCCATTATCTAGATGATAGCAATTAACCATCATGGCCTGTCTATCCGAAGCAATCCTGTAAAGCTGAGGAAAAGCGAGAGCGAGAGGAACATCTCCACACCACACATCCTCCCAAAAACAAATCCTCCTTCCATTTCTAAGACGAAACTGAATGTGTTTGGAAAATTCATCCCAACCCTTCCGAATAAATTTCCAGACCCCCACCCCCTGAGGATCCCTTACTTCCAGAGAACTCCACCCTTCTCTCATCTCCCTAAAACGACAAGCCACAACCCTCCTCCAAAGCCAATGTCTCTCCACACCAAACCTCCACAACCATTTCCCAAGGAGGGCCTTATTAAAAGGCACCAATCTACGGAGACCCAACCACCATTCCGAATTGGCCTGCAAACCTGTTCCCATCGCACCAAATGAAACTTAAACTCTTCACCTCTACCCCCCACAGAAAATTACGCTGCAACCTCTTAATCCTCTCCGTAACTGAAGAGGGAATCTGAAAAAGAGAGATAAAATAAGTGGGAAGGCGAGAAAGGGTGCTCTTAATCAAAGTGACTCTGCCGCCCTTGGAAAGATACTGCTTCTTCCAACCCACCAACCTTCTCTCAAATCTATCCACCACTGGGTCCCAAATCCCCACACACCTCGAAGGAGCACCCAGAGGCAAACCTAAGTAAGAAATGGAAAATGAACCAGTACGACAATCAAGAATGTCAGCAAAAGCTTCAATCTCAGGGACCTCCCCAACCGGCACCAAAACACTCTTGCCCACGTTCACCTTAAGGCCGGAGACAACTTGGAACCAAATCAAAACACATCTCAGATATCTGATCTGGGACACATTCGCATCACAAAGAACTAAGTGTCATCAGTAAACATCAAATGAGAGATCTCCAACTGAGAAACAGCATCCCTGCCCACCTGAAAGCCCCTCAAAAGACCCAACTCGTTAGGTTGCCCTTCTCATCAATCTACTAAGGGCCTCCATCACAAACAAGAACAAGAAGGGGGAGAGAGGATCCCCCTGTCTCAAGCCCCTTGAGCTAGAGAAAAAACCGGTAGGAGCACAATTAACAAGGATCGAAAAACGAGCACTGGAAATACAAAAATGCATCCATCTCCTCCACCTATCGCCGAACCCCATCCTCTCCATCAGGTAAAAAAGGAAGCTCCAACTCACATGGTCATACGCCTTCTCAATGTCCAACTTACAAAGAACACCCGGGATCCCCACTACGCAATCTGGAGTCCACACACTCACTTGTAATAAGGACTGAATCCAAAATCTGACGGCTTCCGACAAAAGCGTTTTGAGAATCCGAAATGATGCCATCCAAAACTTTTCGCAATCTTGAAGCAAACACCTTGTAGATACAACCCACCAAACTTTTCTCAAACATCCTAACATCCAACGCCCCCTCCCCCCCCTTTTCGGAATGAGAGCAATGAACGTGGCATTCAAGCTTTTCTCAAAAGATCCTCGAGAATGGAAAGCATGAAAAGTGCCCATCACCTCCCCTTTAACCACCTCCCAGCACTCTAGAAGAAATCTCATGGTAAATTCATCTGGACCTGGGGCTTTATCCTCATTGCAACTCTTCAAAGCAATTAGAACTTCCTCCTCAGAAAAAGGCAACTCCAAGCCCAAGCACTCCTCCTCAGAAATAGAGTCAGATTGCATCCCTTCAAGCAAAGGTCTCCACTCAACAGTCTTTGTGAACAACTTCTCAAAAAACTTTGAAAATCCTTTGCAGA